CCAGCCTTGCCATGATTCTTTTAAATTCTTTGAATGATGAATATCAAGTATTAAAGAATGTTTTGCAGTACATTGACACTGTACCTAGTGTAGATTTAATTGTTGATGGGTTAAAAGCTAGGGAGTTAGAACTTAGGGTTTAGAAAAGGAGTGGTAATAGCCTATTTGTTACGGGTAAGGGTGAAATTAGTCAGGTGGGTAGTAATCCTCATCACGGCAATGGCTTTAGGAACAAAAAGAAGGGTAAAAACACTAATAAATCCAAAGGGGAAACCCGAAAATGTTTCTATTACAATAAGACTGGTCATCTAAAGAAAAACTGTTTTGAGTGGATTAGGAAATAAAAACAGTCCAACACTGAGAGCAATTTAGCCACCACCAAACATAGCATTGAAGAATCAAAGGTCCTAACAGTGTCTAAGGCTGATACCATAGGGGAATGGGTGTTAGATTCTAGTTGCTCTTTCCACATGAGCCTAAACAAAAATTGGTTCCAAGATTTTGAACCAAATGACAGTGAGACTGTGTTTATAGGAAACAACAATGCTTGTAAGGTTCAAGGAGTTGGTAGCATATCTTTGAGGATGAATAATGGAAAATTAGTCAAACTTACTAAGGTTAGATACATTCCAGATCTTAAGAGAAACTTGATCTCTTTAGGAACCTTGGATGAATCTGGGTGTTGTTATAAGGCAGAAAATGGTTGCTTAAATGTCTATAAAGGTAACAGCATAGTACTTAGTTGGGTAAAGAAGAATGGATTGTACATCTTGAGTGGGGGTTACTGTTCTGATTGTTTGCTTACTACAAATCTGACAGACATTGATAAATGGCATTTAAGGTTAAGGCATATGAGCCAAAAAGGCCTAGATACTCTAAGTAAACAGGGGTTGTTTGGTAGGGATGCCATTAGTGATATGAAATTTTGTGAAACATGTATAATGGGGTAGCAACATAGGCTAAGTTTTCATAAGGGGACACACCAGGACACTAACTGTTTAGAATACTTACATGCTGATCTTTGGGGGCCAGAAAAGATAAAATCTCATAGGGGCAACAGCTATTTCCTGTCGATAGTGGATGACTACAGTAGGAAAGTGTGGGTTTTTCTACTTAGATCCAAAAATGAGGCTTTAGATAAGTTCAAGAATTGGCAAACACTTGTAGAAAATCAGGTGGATAGAAAGGTTAAAGCCCTTAGGACAGATAATGGGTTAGAGTTTTGCAATTCAAAGTTTGATAAATACTGTAGTGATCAAGGTATTTTGAGACACATAACAGTCAGAAGAACTCCTCAGCAAAATGGAGTAGCTGAGAGAATGAATAGGACGTTGTTAGAAAATGTGAGATGCTTGCTGTTCACATCAGGATTACCCAAGACCTTTTGGGGAGAAGCCCTCAATACTGTTGCATATTTAGTCAACAGAAGCCCTTCTAGTACCATAGGTTTCACCTGTCCCGAGGAGAGATGGTCCAAAAGAAAGCCAAACCTAAACCACCTTAGGGTCTTTGGGTGTGCAGCCTATGCACACACAAATGAAGGGAAGCTTGAACTTAGGTCACTAAAGTGTGTTTTCCTTGGTTATCAAGAAGGGACTAAGGGGTTCAGATATGGGAAAGAACATCACCAGGGGTTAAAGTAATAATCAATAGGGATGTTATTTTTAATGAAGATATTTTACCTTGCAAAACTACTAACCCTGATGCAGGTACCTCTAGCATTGATCCTATAAGTCAAGAACCAAATACAGGGACACAAATTGAGGTGGAGCCCTTAAGTATTCAACCTGGTGAAGAAAAATCAGATGAAGAAACTGAAATGGCAGCCATGGCTCATAACCAGGAGGGTGAACCAGCTGAGAACTTAGAACCAACCCAAGAAGAGCTAACCAGAGACAGGACCCGTATAGAGATCAGACCTCCAGCAAGATATTCCTATGCTGATTTGATCTTCACTGCATTAATGGCTGGAGCTGAAGTACTAAGATTAGAACCTGATGGCTATGAGGAAGCAATCAGATCAAAGGACAAGGACAAATGGTAGGCTGCAATGGAGGAAGAAATGCAATCTTTGAAGGTTAACAAAACCTGGTCCTTAGTCCTAACTCCAAATGATCAAAAATCAGTTGAATGTCGATGGCTATTCAAGGTAAAAGAAGGTATAAATTTTTCTGACCCTCCTAGGTATAAGGCTAGACTTGTAGCTAAAGGTTATACACAAAGGGAAGGCATTGATTTTAATGAAATTTTCTCATTAGTAGTTAAGTATAAAACAATTAGGATTATGTTGGCTGTAGTTGCACATTATGACCTAGAACTAGAGCAACTAGATGTTAAGACTGCTTTTCTACATGGAAACCTAGAAGAGAAAATATATATGAGACAATCTACTGGATTTGTTGATAAAAGACTTCCAAATTATGTGTGTTTGCTTCATAAGTCATTGTATGGACTGAAACAGTCCCCTAGGCAGTGGTACAAGAGGTTTGATGCATTTATTTTAAGCATTGGGTTTAATAGGAGCAAATATGATAGTTGATTTTATTTTGCTTTGGATAATGATATGCCTTTGTATTTACTCTTATATGTGGATGACATGCTCTTGATTAGCAAATCTAAATCTAGGATAGATGGGCTAAAGAGTAAACTTAAGGCTGAGTTTGACATGAAAGACTTAGGATGTGCTAAAAGGATATTAGGAATGGTAATACATAGGAATAGAAACTGCCATGAATTAAGATTAACTCAAAGCTCTTACTTGAAAAAATTAGTTTCTAAGTTTAATATGGCTAAATCAAAGGTTGTATCTATGCCTTTAGCAAGTCATTTCACACTTAGTAAACACTAATGTCCCAAAACAGATTATGAGTTAATAAAGATGGAACAAGTCCCTTATGCAAATATAATAAGGTCAATTATGTATGCCATGATTAGCACCAGACCTGACCTTTCCTTTTCTATGTCATTGTTGAGTCATTTTATGTCAAATCCTGGGTCAGAACACTGGTCAGCCCTTAAATGGGTTCTGAGGTATATTAATGACACTTCACATATTGGTTTGGAATATTGTAAAAGATATAATTCACTTGATCTTGTGGGTTTTGTAGATTCTAATTTTGCAGGGGATAAAGACACAAGAACATCAACCACTGCTTATGTCTTCACATTGGGAGGAAACTGTGTGAGCTGGAAATCCCAGCTACAGCCTATTGTGGCACTCTCCTCAACTGAGGCAGAGTGTGTGGCTGTTGTTGATGTATTCAAGGAAGCACTGTGGCTCCAAGGAATACTAACTGAAGTGAATTTGATTGATGGAGTAGCCACAATTTATTCAAACAGCCAAAGCGCCATTCACCTGAGCAAGAATACTGTCTATCATGACAGGACCAAACATGTGGATGTCAGATTTCATTTCGTCAAAGATCTAGTTACCTAAGGATTGATCATCTTGAAGAAAGTCCCAACAAAAGATAATCCTGCTGATATGGGTACCAAGATTGTCACTGTTGCCAAGTTCAAGCATTGCTTGAACCTACTGTTTGTCAAGTAACAGGCAACAACTGAGCTATGAAGGGAGTTTAGGATGGTGAGCTGCACTTAGGAAATTTGGGTTGTAGAAGTTTTAAGCTTCAAGGTGGAGAATTGTTAATATCTGAAGCTCAAAACGCAACGTTTCTGCAGAATTTTATTAAGCAAAACGCTGCAGTTTCACTTAAGATTAGAGCATATCTCAGCCGCTAAAATCAAGCAAATCCAAGGGCCAGAATTAGCGCACAAGGTCAAACTATAAAAGGGAGAGCTTTTTTACACAAAAATAGTTTTTTTTTTTTTGCTCCTTCTCTTTTACGCATCAAATCTGTTTTACCTTTGAGTGTTGAGAGTTTGTTTCAATCTTGTTTTGAGTTGCAAATCTGTGTAATCCTGGGTGAGGGCAGGTTGTTCCTTCAGGTTTAGAGAGATTGGGTCAGGTCATCTCTAGGGATTTTTGTCAGGTTTGTGTGAGTGTGTTCTTGATTGATCTTTGGGTAAATCAGTGAGAGTTTTTCCTGTAATCTATAATAACGATTATTCCTTGGGCAATGAGCCCCAAAAAATTCCTGGAGCTCAACATGGATGTAATCTTTCCTTTGTGGAAAGGTGAACCACGGTATATTTGGTGTTCTTGAGTTGGTTGATTATTGATTTTGTAGTGTGTGTGTTATCTGTGTTATTTGTGCGTGTGATTAGGTGAGAATTGATTGTGGATTTCCATAACAATATGTTATGTGGCTGTGTGACACATCATTCGATACAAAATTTCGGTGCAAGTCTTCGGTTTTCATAGCATTATTGTTTCTCAAATATGTTATATGCTATCTTTAAAAAATGGGACTAGCCTTATAAAAAAATATTAAATAATTCAATATAAAAGGTTTGGATGGATTATTATAACCGCTCAACATGTATAAAAAATTAAAAAGTTTAAAAGACACGAAATGTTTAATGTAATAACATAAATCGTCGTAAGCCTTTTGAAATAACAAAACCTCCAAGAGGTTTAGCGGGCTTCTCTAGTTTATTTAAATAAAAAAATCCTTCTGAGATTTAGTAATAATAAAATTTCACTTACTATTCATAAACTATTAGTGTACCGTAAAATTTTATAACTAAATAGATTAATAAATAATTGTTCTTCTTTTGTTTAATTTAACCCCAAAAAATTAAAGGCAAGAGAATTTTTGTTTTTTCTATAATTACAGGAAGAATTTTATTCATTTATATCTAAGAGAATTATTGTTAATGAATATTACCATTAATTTTAGGATGTAAAAACTAAAAACTAAAACTAGGGGCATATTTATTATTTCAGAAATTTCAAAGGGCTGTTTTTAATTCAATCATACCGATGAGAAGAAATATTGTTAACTAAAAAAATAAAACTTAAAAGTCCTATATAACCCCAAAAGTTCTATATTTTTCATAAAAACCCTTTCTTGTTAATAAAGAAGACTGCCGCTTTAAACTCCATAAAACTGCATTAACTCTCTTTAATTTCCTCCATTCTCTTCTTGCATTTCAACCCCCAACAATGGCGAAGGAGTTCTCCGTCCCACCCGTAATCTTTCCCTCCGGCGGCAACCCGTCCACCACCACTCGCGTCCCCACTGCGCCGTTTCAGCCCAACCGCCCCGCCGCCAGCTCCGCTATCCCCTTCATGTCCTTTGACATTGGAACCTCCGCCCCCTCCTACACCGGCCCCATATCCACGTCATCATCTTCTGGTCCCATTTCCTTCGACGAAGAAGAACCCCTCCTCGACGAACTCGGCATCCACCCAGATCAAATCTGGAAAAAAACCAAATCAATCCTAAACCCTTTCCGGGTCAACCCGAATGTCCACAAAGACTCGGATCTTTCCGGCCCAATTGTTCTCTACCTAGCTTTCGGACTCTTTCAACTCCTCGCCGGGAAGCTCCAATTTGGAGTGATTCTCGGGTGGATCGTCGTGTCCTCGATCTTTTTGTACGTGGTTTTTAATATGTTGGCGGGTCGGAGCGGGAATCTAGATCTTCACACCTGTACGAGCGTGGTTGGGTATTGTATGTTGCCGGTGGTGATGTTGGCGGCAGTGTCATTGTTCTTGCCGCAGGGCGCGGCGGTCCGGTTTGCGGTGGCGGGGATTTTCGTGTTGTGGGCGATGAGGGTTTCGACGAATTTGATGGTTTCGCTTGCCGATGGAGGTGAGGAGCATCGTGGATTGATTGCGTACGCTTGTTTCTTGATCTATTGTTTGTTTTCGCTTCTTGTTATCTTTTGAAAAAAAGTGAAACCTGGGCCATTTTCATAGATGTAAATGAAGGTTTAGATTGATTTTATTTTGTTTTATGGTTCTTGAAGAAAGGAGAAGTGGGCTAATTGATTGGATTACAGTTTTTGTTATAACAATAATTTGTATTTTGATCGAACTGTTTTCGACTTTCCAAGTTGAATTTATACTTATTTTTTATAGTTTGAACTTTGAAGGAGCATATATGACCTTAGTTCAAGGATTTTTTTGAGCTTTAGCAATTCCTCATTACCATGGTGTTGATACACAAGAAAATGGGTCATTTGTCGTGCATGTTGAGTTCCCTACTTAGATCTTTTTACCATAGTACTAGACATGTTTGACACCCTCAATGATGCTTCTTGAACTTTAATGTATTTTGGATCTGTTAGTTGAGCCATGTTGTTCTTAGTTGGGCTGAGAAAGGTTTTTGAATCTTCTTAGTTATCAAAAAGGCCTCTGGAAATGGATTATTTACACTGATTTTGGTAATTTCAATTACATCATAGAAATATAAACCTGTAAGGTTGAGTTGTTTGTCGAAGGTTTGATTCAACATATGGCAATTTGAAGAAGTGTGGGAAAAAAATGTAGAGATTTGAAGTGAGAAATATAATGATTGGTTGTTTTCTTTGAATTAATTTAATGAGTTGATTGCTTGTTCTCCATGGTTTTATTTCGTGTTACCATTTTGAATTTGTTCTACCTGTATTACTGAAAAGTAAAAAGAAATTGTTGTATTACAATAAGTAAAAAAGAATGTGAGTGGTTTTATCTTTGTTAATGAATCTTTGAGAAATAGACTGATGATCTTAGTTCAGGGATGTTTTGAAAGATAGTGATTGTATGCTCATTCGTGCTTTGGCTGAAGTGTTCTCGTTTTGTTAGTTTTATTCACCTCATGAAAATATAGAGCTCATAGATTGAGTTGTTTGTAAAAGGCTCAATTTAAGACAGGGCGATTTGAAGATTGTACAGGGTATGAAGTCAAGAAATATGATCAGTGGTTGTTTTCTTTGAATTTTTTTGTTAGGAGTGGATGGTTCACATTCTTTCTGTTTCGCTTTACCATCCATAAAATTTGTTCACTGTTCATTTGTGAAAAGAAAATAAAATTGATGATTTTGATTATGATTTATGCTCTGTTTCCGCTTCTCATTACGTTGTAATAATGAAATGGAATGTGGGTAGTTTTTGTAGCTGTAAGTGGACCTTGAGACTGATTTTTGTACAATAGAAGAGAAAGTGTTTGATTTCTTTTTTCCTTTCTTTATTATTTAAAGCATATTTTTTGGGAGTTAATTTTTTCAATTTAAAGATGGAAGACTGGCATTTGGAATTCTTTTTATGTTATATTCTGGATCACGGTGAATGAGAGTTTGTTTTGCAATCTGAATGTTTAGTCATTGCTTTGAAGAAACAAATAGAAGCATTCATTGGCTGTGATGTTGTGCTAGTGCTATTTCTTTTGTTTAAGCGGAGTGGTGTAATTGGTGGTTCTGACTGCAATAGTTTGTTTTTGTTTTCTCAGATTGACTGTTTTCATCTAAATGCTTTCACATTAACTGAACAGAACATAAATAAAGTATTTATAGGTTTTGCGTTGCTGCCTACAATACTGAAAACCATCAAAGTCATTTAGAATCAACAGCCTCAATAGTGGCCAAACTTGGGAGACAGCAACGTATATTGGAGACTCACTTAACCCTCTGTAATTGCTTTTGATTATATTCTCCCATGCTAGCCCAGGACATCATATAGAAACTTAACGTGTTTCTAACTTAGAAATCAACTTTAAATACTTAAACTTAGGAAATCGATAGAACCTTGACAAATTTCTTAATATTGAAGTTATGACCAATGGTGCTTTGCGTTTGATAGAATGCTAGCTATTGTGTCATGCGTAGGAATGTTGGTTTTTCATTTATAGTAATTTCTTTGTTAGCAGATTCTGTGCTTGGGTTCCTTCCATCCCAGTGTCTTTCTTAGGCTATTATAAACCTGCATTGTCACAGGTTAATAGCTATCGATAGTTTGAGACATTTTTATAATATGTATCCCTACGTTCATTGCCATATATACCATATAATAAATGCCACTTCATGACTGATTTAAGCGTCAATAGTCCAGTTTTCATCTACCCTACTGGTTTGCTGCTGAGAAAAGACAGAAAGTTAAACAAAACCTGGCTACCTAAAGGTTACTAGTTTTAATATTTTCGATTCTTTTCATTTTGATAGCAGCTGAAGTGGGATTAAAGAAAATTGTGAACTAATAATCAATGGCCTTATAGAAGAGGTTTATTGATGTCAACGTTAAACACGAGTAATTAGGATTGTGTTTATAGTTTTTAGCCTCTTAGAACTCTTATCTGTCTCGTGCTTATAGTTTCATTTTATTTAAATTGTGTTCTACAGAAGATGAAATCTCTTCTTCAAAAATTCTTTGGTTACTTAAGCATTTAATAATTAATATAGCAAGCTCATAATTTTTGTACAAGGAAAAAGTCAAAATTTCTTTAGTAGGAGAGCTTCCCTCCAAAACTTTCTATTTCATTTTTTTTGTGAAATACTTTTTAGTGTGGTATATGATTATATATATATATATATATTTAGTTATTTAAACTAGAAAAAGAATTACAATTTTTACACTTTAATCTAAAAATAAGTTATTAAATTATACATACACAAACAGAATTACGGACAATGTCCTTATCATAACATATATAAGCTTATATATAACTATTAAATAAGACTTCAACTTTGTTTATTTAAAAGCATTTTAAATATGTTGACCACTACAATGGTTGGAATCGACAGCCAGTTAGTCCGTCATTGAAATCTGTTTATCGAAAATATTTTTGGTGTAACAATATTGGCATCAAAATTATCGTCTTTAAACTATCTATCTAACCTTACTTTGTAACAATGCAACGATTGGCCAACATTTGATGGAGAAAGTTCGACTGTTAAATTTCAACCAAACATTACCTTTTATTGCTTTTGATACAAAAACTGTCTTAAATTCATTTAGTGAATTTTTGGTCATCGGATTCCAAGGCCAAGGTTTTTGTCATAGGGAGTATTTGACGGGGTTTGGTTTGTTTTGATATTTGAAGTAGATTTTGATTTTGTTTAGATTTTAGTAAGTTGGTATAGTATGTTTCTGTAGGTGTGAAATATAGAGTTTTGATTTCATATAATTTGTACAAATTTGCTTTGGCAAACCGCATGAGCCTGAGTTTACATAATTATTTTAAGGGTTTTGTTCTTGAAGCAATAGCCAAGGCAAATGTTGTGTTCAAAGTGGATAAAGGGGAGACAACCTATAATTTAGGAGTAATTTGTGTAAATGTAATTTAGGAGTTTAGGTCATAAAACACTTGTCAAGTTAAATCATAAATGCTGTGGTTGAAGCTGATTAACGAGAGAGAATTTGAAAGATGTAAAAACATAAACCCACCTATCTAAACCTTAGAAACCCCAAACCTACTTGCAATATCATAACAAACAAAACCCAATTAGATCTGTCAAATTTTCTTAAGTTTACTAGCTTTAACCACTATTTGCATTAGTAGTTGTTTCATGACCAAAAGCCTTAAAATCATATGTACACTTATGTTTTTATTGATTATAGTATATCGATTTTTTTTTTTTTTTTTTTAGTGATCGAAGGTGTTTGAGTTAACTAGTGCGTGCCTCAACTAATCGTGAAGCTAACGACTATGGAATCAATCTCTAAATCTCAATAAACATCATGAAACCAACCTATCTAAACCCAGACAAAGTGCAAGCCTGCTCAATATGTTATACCAAACCAAAGCCAGTTACATCTTTTAAATCCTCTCTAGTTTATCAGTTTTAATCACAGGATTTGCATTGGCTATTGTTTCACGACTAGAACCCTTAAAATCATATGCACGCTCGTGCTTCTATGAATTTGTCACGTGTAAACTTGTATAAATTATTATGAAATCAACCTCTCTATCTCACACTAGTAGAAGCACTACAAAACTTACCTAGCTAAACTTAAACAAAATCAAAACCTAATTAATATATTATTCCAAACCAAACTTAATTACATTTTTGAGATCCTCTCTCCTTTATCAATTTTAACGATAACAATTGCTTTAGGAGCAGAACCCTTAAAATCATATTTACGCTCATGTTTTAGGGATTTGGCACATGTAAAGTTATACAAATAATTATGGAATCAACTGTTGACATGTGAATAATTATACGCACCATATTTAGAAGATTTGGGAGATTTGATATGGTCTGAATATGGGCAGTCTAGCTAGAACTATACTGTTGCCTTCTATGTATTGATTTGTATTTAATCTCTTTATTTGCTTTCCTTACATGTTACATTTACACTTGTACAAATTGTAACACATTGTATATGAAATATACATCTGAAATAAAAAGTATTCTTCTCTCTTTTTTCTTGCTTTTATTCTCTCGGCATACTCAACAACTAAGGTTGCTTCTCTTGCCTCTCCTGCATTCTTCTTGGAGTTCTTTGATAGTCCAAGTACCTCTTCTTGCCACTCCAATTCCAGGTTCTTGCATCAACCTCAATATCTCACATAAACAGAAACACTACAGTACCAACTTATCTAAACTTAAACAAAATCCAAACCTATATAAATTGTAGTGTATTGTACCAACCCACCAGTCCAACTGGTTTTTGGGAAAAAAACCAGGTGAATCAAAATGTAGAAAACAATGACTTTCAGCCAGCGTTCGGTGGGGCAAACATGAATTGAGGTTAGAAGGTTTTGAAGGGTGGATCATGGTTAGTCAGTGGGTGGTGTCTGATTAAGTTTTAGTCAACAGAATTGCCAAAATTTGGCCAAGAAACAATGAAACCCTAGCTTTTGATTGCTGGCGATTGGTGGGTGGAATGGCTTGGGAACTTTGGGGGTTTTGTAGGGGAGTAGTCGTGAGTCTAAAGGTGGTGGTGGTTGGAGTTGTCGTCGCTCAAAACGGCCAAAATCTGGCAAAGGATAACCAATCGATGCAGTTTCCATGGTCAACGGTCGACGAGTGATGAGAGGGGATAAAGGGTATGGTTTTGAAGAGGAGAGGGTGGGGGTTCCAGTGGTGGTAATGGGAGTGATTTTGGGTGAGAAAATAACCAGAAAAAAGAGAAAGAAGGTCGGCGTCAACACATGCTAATGTGCACATGAAACAGTGCTAACATGTGTTGAAAATAAAAAAATTTGAATTTTTTTTTTATGTTGATGTCACCGGTTTGACCCATCGGTCAACTTGGGGCTCGACCACTTTTTCGAGTTTAGCCTTGGATTGGTTTTTAAAACATTGTACGCAATTACTTAACGACCACAATCCTTATACTCATATGTACATCCACGCAATTATTATGGATTCAACGTACCTCTATATCCAACCACTGTTTAAAAAACCGGACCGGACCGGCCGGTCCAACCAATTGGACCGGGAACCGGTCACGTGTCCGGTTCGAGTCAACACCAAAACCGCCATAATGCACTCAGCCGCTTTAAGTCGTTTGAAAACCGAATAAACTTAGTGAACCGTCGGTCCAACCGGACTGGTGGATAAACTGGTCTAAATTTTAAAAACCCCTAAATCCCTAATACGTAATCGCAGCCCTTTCTCTGTTTCTTAGCTTCTTCTCTTTCTTAGTTTCTCTACGAAAATTTCTCAGCTTCTTCTCTCTTCTCTGCGAAAATTTCTCAGCTTCTTCTCTATTCTCTACAAAAATCTCTCTGAAATCCCACCCAAATCGCAACTAAACTCTCTGAAATCGACGACGACATATTCCTCCCTTGCCGGAAATCGACGACGTCTTCCTCCCTCGCTGGAAATCGACGGCGACAACTCCATTCGTTGACGATAGCTCCATTCCTCGATCCAGGTAATAAACACGTCATTCCTTGATCTAGCTTCAATAATGATTTCGTTGCAAACTTTATCTGGGGCAATGTGTATGTGCATGTATTTCCAGATTATGTGTATGTGCATGTATTTCCAAATTATGTATTTGAATTCACCCTGCTACTACTCCTGATTTTGTTTTTCTTTTGCTGGCTAAAAGCAGAAAGACTTCTTGAAGTGACCTCTTTCCTTGTGCAGGTTGGTTCATTACCTAGTTAAATAAATTAGGTTTAGATTTGCATGCCCATTTGAAGTTTGGTTTTGGAAGCAATGAGATCAGGACGAAATTGGTAGAAGTAAAATCATGAAGTGCATTTTGCAAATCACAAAAAGGAAATTCAAATTAAGCTCATAAAAGAAGGAAAGATTTTTTCTTCTTTTATGAGCTTAATTTCGTATATGTAGTTAGCGAACTTTTATTGATATACTTTATGTTTTACTTGAATATTTCTTTTACTAAGTTATTTTATGTACAACTATCAACTGATTTTGTGGTATGTTTGTTGCTAAGTACTTATTGTATGTGCATGTATTTCCAGATTATGTATTTGAATTCCGTACTTGAATGTTTATGTTTTACTTCTATTGTATCTTTGTGGATGAATAAGGACTTATGACGATAGTATGTTGCATGAGATTTTTTTTTTTTTTTTTTTAGTGATCGAAGGTGTTTGAGTTAACTAGTGCGTGCCTCAACTAATCGTGAAGCTAACGACTATGGAATCAATCTCTAAATCTCAATAAACATCATGAAACCAACCTATCTAAACCCAGACAAAGTGCAAGCCTGCTCAATATGTTATACCAAACCAAAGCCAGTTACATCTTTTAAATCCTCTCTAGTTTATCAGTTTTAATCACAGGATTTGCATTGGCTATTGTTTCACGACTAGAACCCTTAAAATCATATGCACGCTCGTGCTTCTATGAATTTGTCACGTGTAAACTTGTATAAATTATTATGAAATCAACCTCTCTATCTCACACTAGTAGAAGCACTACAAAACTTACCTAGCTAAACTTAAACAAAATCAAAACCTAATTAATATATTATTCCAAACCAAACTTAATTACATTTTTGAGATCCTCTCTCCTTTATCAATTTTAACGATAACAATTGCTTTAGGAGCAGAACCCTTAAAATCATATTTACGCTCATGTTTTAGGGATTTGGCACATGTAAAGTTATACAAATAATTATGGAATCAACTGTTGACATGTGAATAATTATACGCACCATATTTAGAAGATTTGGGAGATTTGATATGGTCTGAATATGGGCAGTCTAGCTAGAACTATACTGTTGCCTTCTATGTATTGATTTGTATTTAATCTCTTTATTTGCTTTCCTTACATGTTACATTTACACTTGTACAAATTGTAACACATTGTATATGAAATATACATCTGAAATAAAAAGTATTCTTCTCTCTTTTTTCTTGCTTTTATTCTCTCGGCATACTCAACAACTAAGGTTGCTTCTCTTGCCTCTCCTGCATTCTTCTTGGAGTTCTTTGATAGTCCAAGTACCTCTTCTTGCCACTCCAATTCCAGGTTCTTGCATCAACCTCAATATCTCACATAAACAGAAACACTACAGTACCAACTTATCTAAACTTAAACAAAATCCAAACCTATATAAATTGTAGTGTATTGTACCAACCCACCAGTCCAACTGGTTTTTGGGAAAAAAACCAGGTGAATCAAAATGTAGAAAACAATGACTTTCAGCCAGCGTTCGGTGGGGCAAACATGAATTGAGGTTAGAAGGTTTTGAAGGGTGGATCATGGTTAGTCAGTGGGTGGTGTCTGATTAAGTTTTAGTCAACAGAATTGCCAAAATTTGGCCAAGAAACAATGAAACCCTAGCTTTTGATTGCTGGCGATTGGTGGGTGGAATGGCTTGGGAACTTTGGGGGTTTTGTAGGGGAGTAGTCGTGAGTCTAAAGGTGGTGGTGGTTGGAGTTGTCGTCGCTCAAAACGGCCAAAATCTGGCAAAGGATAACCAATCGATGCAGTTTCCATGGTCAACGGTCGACGAGTGATGAGAGGGGATAAAGGGTATGGTTTTGAAGAGGAGAGGGTGGGGGTTCCAGTGGTGGTAATGGGAGTGATTTTGGGTGAGAAAATAACCAGAAAAAAGAGAAAGAAGGTCGGCGTCAACACATGCTAATGTGCACATGAAACAGTGCTAACATGTGTTGAAAATAAAAAAATTTGAATTTTTTTTTTATGTTGATGTCACCGGTTTGATCCACCGGTCAACTTGGGATCCAACCACTTTTTCGAGTTTAGCCTCCGGTTGGTTTTTAAAACATTGTACGCAATTACTTCACAGCCACAATCCTTATAATCATATGTACATCCACGTGTATGGCTTTATGCTAATTCGTCACATGTAAAGTTATACAAATTATTATGGATTCAACCTCTATATCCAATATTCCAACATCAATAGAAGCACTACAAAACCTGAATTTTTTTTTTCTAAACCTAAATAAAAATAAAATATCATATCATACCAAATCAAACCCAATTAGATTTTTCAGATCCTCTCCCGTTTATCAGCTTTAACTACAAGATTTGCCTTACCAATTGCTTCATGAGCAAAACCTTTAAAATGGGATTTACACTTGTGTTCCTACATAATACAATAAACCCCACAAAAAGTACTCCCACATTTGCACTAAGGCCCGATTAATCCAACTTTCTTGTTGCAACTTAAACACCTATTAACCCTTTTGGCTGGAGGAATGTAATTGGCTAACTTAGCCCGACCATTTCCCCAAACGACAGCTAACACTTCAAGGGTTGTAATCGACGAACTCTCCACTTTGAGTAGATCATTTCTCAAAACATTAGATTGAGGAATCGTGCCCCACGAAACAAAAAAGGGTTCAACAACAGCCACGTTAATATTGTATCATACGAATTTTCACTTCGTTTTATTGACTTTTGATTAATAGATTTCTCCATGACTGCTTTTACCGAAGCTACTTATTCCTTCTTGATACAGAAATCCACAAGGCACTCGTAACATAAGTTCATGTTGGCTACATGCCAAAGAAGCTACAGCTATTAGTGAAAAACTTTGATTGGAAAAAGCAAAACTTGTTGATTCTCTTGATGAATGCATATAATTATCATATTTTGAGAGAGTTTCTTAATCAAATCATTATTTTAAAACCTACTTCTTGTGAGACCCGACAAGGTGACTAAGTCACAGGTCGACCAATCCAACCAGTTGAACTGGTCGATTGGACCGATAACATCAGCAATAAAAACATTTAAAAAAAAAATCACAAGTTAGTCCCTTAAATTTTAGTATATTACCCCTAATAAATTTCAAATTAGTCTCTGGAATTTAATTTATTTTTAAATACCTTACTAGTCCCTAAAGTTTTGAAACATTACAAAACACTCCCTAAACTTCAATTAGTCCCTACAAATTTGAAATATAATAAAAAGCCCCCTGAAACTGAACCGGACCGGAGAGACTGCTGGGTCCCGGTCTGACCGGCCAGTCCGGTTTGGGTTTTAAAACAGAGAATCAAATAAGAAAAACTTTTGATTTATAAAGGGTCCTAAAAAACATAAAAAAAAAACTTAAATACTAATAAGATAATAGATCATTCTAAATTAAACAAGTCTTAGAAATCTCCACGAAAAATAATTCAGCAGCATGCCCAAATTTTATAAACCCCTAGAATAGAACAATGTCTAATAAAAAGAAATATCATCTCCAACAAATAATTAGAATCAGTGTTCCTAAAAACAAGTACTGAAGCAAAAAGGCGGAAAATAATTTAATATACAATAGTGAATATTATTACAATCGCCTTCGGATAATCAAGAAATAAACTCTACAAATTTTTCATACTACATCTGGGTAATTTACAGCAGTTTTGTTTTAGTTATTATGGGAGAGGCAGCTTGATACCTTGTTCGTTGATGCCACTGAAGCTTATTCTGTCTCTGATTGTACCGGTATTTGGAACAAATTTAAGCTTCTAAGGATATGCCTGCATACCGGAGACGTATGTTGCCTCGACAGATGCAGTCCCTTCTGCTGCAAAGTCCTCCCATGAAGAAGTCGACAATATGACAAAATCTGCCAGTTTCCCAGGAGACAATGATCCTAAATAATTTTCAAGAAAGCATCCACGAGCAGCTGAACTAGTATGCCTGCCACGGAGGAAGTGTTGGTATTCCAGTTTGAGAGTTCGATTAATAAATAACAGAAAGCATGAGATCATACATAGAGGATAGGGAAACGGTTAAGTAGCTGTAAAAGAGAGAAAATTAGAGCATACAACAAATATATCCACTCAATCCAAAAAAGATGGCATGGCTCAAAAATATTTGCATGTTTAAATCAAATGATGATGGTACTATGCAAAGTGTCTCATCTCAGAAAAAATCCAAGCCAGTCAAAAAGTATAAATTTCCTTATACATGAGTACAAGAGAATAACAAGCATTTCAAAATTGCTTACGCTATCAATGAGTCGATCAATGAAATTCGCTCTGATGGAATCCAAGCGTCGTCCCAACCAGGAGGTATTCTTTTCATTGCTGTCTTGATAGCACCTAACGGATTGATGTCGACAACCTGAAATAACATTAGCGATGTGAGATTTAGCAATGTTTTAATATCAAACTCAAAGGTTGAACACAAGTATTAATGTGAACCATTATACATACTGGCCAGTCAGATCCTAGTGCCAACTGAGCATTGCCAGCCAAAAGTGATCCAAACAGATAAGATGCTTTATGAGCCCTATCCATCCCCAGCTTTTTTATTGCAGAATCCGCATCATCTAAGAGGTGCTGTGGCTGTTACAAAAAGGATAATCTAACTCAAACAGTGTCATAATTAAATAATTTCAGAGTTCGCAATCATAAGGTGGAGCCAGAAAAAAGTTCATCCAGTAAAAGATAATTTGTCTATGAAAGTGGGTAGCATCACTACAGAAATCTACATGGTAAGAGCATATAAAGGATGGAAACAAGAAAGAAATGAAGCCACGAAGTGCCATCAGCAGTGTATTAATGATATATGGTGCAAAGGTGAACATCAACCAATTTTAAAATATGCAGAGAACAATATCTGCAAGCTATCCCTTACTAGCAAGCCACTAATATTTGACAGCCTAAAAGGTAGTTGAAAAACCTGTACTGAAGCAACAACCCCTTGGTCACCAAATCGGGCAGCTGCACCAGGAGCCAAATGCTGTGCATGCTCAATCTGAAAGAAATTGTTCCAGTCATGAGAAACAATGACACAAATATTCACCACCAAGCAAGCAACAAAATTACCCTAAATCTTCGATCCCTCTTTCCAGTTGTTGCAGCAACTGATTTATACATGTCCAGAATTAAATCATTTGCTTTATCACCTATGGCATGAATGGCAACCTGAAACAGTTTAAAAAAAAAAAAAAAAAAAGGTTATTGATTTGTGAATACCATTGACTCCCATGTATGTGGTCATGTGTTCTGCATAGGGATCTCTAGAAAAGACAAAGAAATACCTGAAGACCAGATTTATCCGATGCCAAGGTCATGTTAAGAAGACTTTCAGGATCCATAATTTGTAGGCCATAATTATCAGGCTCATCAGCATATGGCTACAGAATTCAAAAGACTCATGTTGATTTGACTAACATATATGCATAACCATCTGATGTGCTAATAATTCACACAGTATAGCATCTGCATCACAATCTACAGTAGTGTTTCATTATTATATCATTCCAATTTTGAAACCAGTCTCTAAGACAAACCTCAGGCAAATAAAATTCCATAGCAATCTACTCATCTACACCCTGCATTAGCAAGGGTATTTGAGGAGTCATTCAGACCTTGGTCAATGACATGAAGAGCATAAATAGACGTATCACTTGATTCAAGAACTTCTATTTCTCCTGAGAAAGTTGGATCATTACTTTAAAGTTTTAAAAGGCTCAGAAGCAGATTTTGTTTAGAAATTAAAGATGATTTATATCTCTTTCTTATCATTTCCTTCCGCCTGGCTTCCAATAGGCGATACCATTTCTATTCTGTATATATGAATAAGTCGCTGGTTATTAAGACTTCCCTTACAATTGAACACTCGTGCTGAAACACCACAGCATAATTTCACCTTTTCTGGAATGCCAAATGCCTCTAACTGACAGCCCAAGATTAATGACAATGTAAAGGAATGGAATATGCATTATTTTATATTTTCCATTTCCAACATTTATCCCAACTTTCTTTTTTTGAATATTTAAGCACAGAGCTAAAGTGATGAGATTAAACATTATTGATGCTTTTAATGTAAACAATCTATTCTTACCCTCTACTAGTTCTTAGCCTCTAAATATTTTTGAGATAGAAAGCTCTCTTGATTGATGCTTTAACTTCAAAAAGTTTATTCTAAACTATAAATTGGTCTATAAAAGGTAAATAAGAAAGGTTCATAGAACAAAAGAATGTGACCTTGAAAATGGAATCCATATTTATCCAAATTACAAAACACTTCAATGGACAAACAAAAACCTCACCTCATGAAAGAGTGCACTATTAGAACCTAATGAACCATCAACAAAAGCCTTGACGCCACCCAAGTAAACCCAATCGCTTTGGGCATGGCCTGTTTTGTTGATAAGATCCTGTCAGGTAAAGAGATATCCAAGTAATGATAAATAATACGAAAAGAGGAAAAACAAAAAAAAAAAAAAAAAGAAGGTTAGCTTGACAAATCTAGTGAGCGACCTCAGGTGGAAATGACAGGAAAATAAGTAATGCCAAAACTCTCTGATGCCGGAAATGAGATAGCAATAGAAATGGGTTTCAAACAGAGAATGGTAAATCAAGATGTGATGGAAATTAAGATTGTAGAAAAGTACTTAACAATTCATTATTTCTTGGCATACTGAAACATAAGATGGGAGAAAGTTAAATTGATGCTTCCATTAAGCAGAAAAAATAGCTCACTACCAAAAATATGCATCAAACTAAAACATAACTCTACTTAATCTAAAAATTATGATTTTGTTTTTAGATTAATATAATCAAGTATAAAAGAGGTGTATACGACCGTGTTATGATGGCAATTGAATGCCAGGCTTGTCAAAGATTATGTTTAATTTTCTAATTGAAATGAATTCCATCATCTGCTTGATTAGGAAAAACATATGAACAAATATAATCAAACCACTACTGCTTGGACACAATTAGAAAAATAAAACAATGAGGCCATATCTCACAAATTTTCAAGAAGTCATACAGCTAAACGCGACCATGTCTGTATTGGAAAAAATAAGCAAACCCTGATCCTCATCTTCTCTGAAGAAACAGCCCATTGATAGACATCTGTTAAAATCAGAGGGGGGAAAAAAAAAGGAACATCACTTTATACTCTAGAAGGTAATATCACTCTGCTAAAGGATTGCATTAAGGATATATAAGAAAATAAATAAATAATGTCTTCAACTACCAGATCAACTCAAATAGTTGTTTGATGAAAATAGATAACCAAGGGGTGCAGTTTTTCGTCCCCTGAATTAATATTTTTCATTATGTTGTGCATTGCATATGAAACAAGTCAATGAGCTTTCCGTAGCATTTGCATGGGTTTATTGAATATTTGTCAAAGCACACACAATACAGATCCTTAAGAAAACCCAATTCATATCAACTAGATTACTATGGCTTGGCAGTTATTACAATAAACTCTTATCTTATGAATTGCAAGAACCTGAAAAATCATCCCAAGGTTGCTGCAATGATGCCCCAGGGAGATATCTTCCAATATCAACAACAGTCGTCACACCCCTCATCAGAGCATGTTTGCTAGCTCTAAATAAGGCTTCCCTCCTTTCATCTACAGAGACCTCGGGAATCCAGGGAAGAATGAGTTTCATTGCAGCATCAACTAGCAATCCAGTAGGTTCTGCATGAGGAATATGTTGATGTAATAAAAGTGACTCACAATGTGCAATTAACTTTAAGTATAAAGATACTTTAGCAAAATCAAATTCATATGCAGATATTACATGCATTCCCAAACTACAAGGATTTAAGAGACTTGATTGATAATAGACTTTGTACAACTAATAATCCAACTACAAAAATCACATGATACAACTTATGCACACAAATAAACGTCTGGCTGCATCTCAGGACTCTACTATGCTCAGCTCTATGTTTAATATACTGTTTTGACTTTTTTGTTCTCAAAATCTAAACAACTGAAAGGCGACCTCAAAACTATTGCGCATGGTCAAGTAGGTGTTTTTTACAGAAAGGCAGCTTATGTTACCTGCTTTAGTTTATAAGAGTTTACAAAAGTATGTTTAAAAATTTTCTACATTCACATAAAGACTATTTTTTCCATCTGATACCTAGAATTCCCTCACCCTACAGTTCGCCCAGATCCAAGCTAGGGGCTATTTCCAAACCCTACAATGTTGGTAGCCATGAAACTTTTGAGATACAATATCCCAAGTGGGTGGTCCCAAGGGGATTTAAATTCTTGACCTCTTAGTTGAAACAACTCTTGGAGTTATCCACCTAAGACTATCAAAAACACATCATCCAACTCTATCAAAAATTTCTTTCGTTTATTAACGATGGCAATGTTGCTTTACATTGCCAATTCTTCAGTTTGTTTTCCTTTTTTCAAATCCAGTGTCTCATGAATTATGCTTTACAAGCTATGGAGAGATATACTGCTTGATTCTTGGGCATGCCTTAGATAAAACTTTTTTACTTGGATAAATGAACTTTGACAAACAGGAAGGAAAGAAAGCCTATTTGTCTGTGGTTTTCAATCAAAAAATTAAATTATGAAATCACAAACATATTCCAATTTCCTATATTCGTGAATCTAAATATTTCACACAAAAACAAATCTCAATTTACCTCCACTAGATGTCCTCATAATAGTTCCACCAGCAGGATCTTCCGATAAATTAGTAATCCCAGCCATCTGTAGGGCAACTGAATTTGCCAAGCCCATATGACCATCCATCCTTGATAACCAAACCTACAAGAAGAAGATATCTTGGACTAAGAACTCAACATTTTGAATTCTTATGTGTATAAAAGTTGTGACTACAACTAAGTTATGACCTCTTACAGGATTGTCAGGTGTAATATCATCAATCCAAGATGTCATTGGCAAGTCTCCTCCCCAAAGGTCATTGTTCCATCCACCACCCAGAATCCAGGAACCTTTTTTTAAATCTGAAAATGTTTATTAAAAGATTTCACCTCCAACGACATGATACTATGCATTAAAAACAAAATAATCTGAAAAAATTTTATTGAACCATTGTAACTCAAGATTCTGTTCATAATTAATAGGATTTCACTCATCACAACCAAAATTATGATTAATGGACTGAATATTTCCAAATACCAAGTGATGAATATTTATGTTACCATGGCAGCATTGATTTGAAGTTTTATAACTAAACCAGCTAACCTTCCAAAGCATATATGACAAAATTGACATGAAACCGAACCGCCAATCCTTTGTAAACTACTAAATCAAAATTTTGTAAAGTTGAACACTCAATTGAGCAAAAACAACATTGCTCAGTTGAGTGTTCAACTACTTTAGAGTTCCTTATGTAAGAGAAATCAGGTTTAGAAGTCATAGGGGGAAAGCCTGTGTTAAAAACTTAAGATTCAAACTTACTACTTGCTATAGTCAGACAGAACAAAGAGACGTCATTTGAACAAGAATATTAGCACATGTCTACTCCAGTATACTGGAAAGATGGTCATTGCATAGTTAATGTGAATTAATAAGCTAAAACCTGTAATTTTAGAACAACAGAGCTCGAGGAGTTACTTCTCACTGCTTTGACTCTTCTCACAAATTCATCCTTACAATTTACACCATGCAGTTCCACTTGTGCCATCTGTTTTTCAATCGGCAAAATCCCAACTCAATACACACGGATAACGACAACAAAAGCACACAATAGGACCAAGAGTAACTGAAACAAAGAGTTCATTCCATAAATGATTTGTAGCTTTAAAAAATTTGAATGAAGAATTAAGAACAGTGGTACGGGGAACTCCAAAATATCGATCAATGTACACCCTCTCACATGCAATCATGATGCACTAGTTTATCTAATAGGGAAACTATATATCACAATGTAGGCCCAAACTAAAGCCTTGCAGTTGCGGGCACATAATGAGACACCAAATTAGGCCCAAGTTAATCGGGTTTCAAATGCCATTGTTACTAATTACAAATTAGATTAAGCATATTACTTCACTTTTCAGTCTTGAGAAGTAACAAAAACTTTGGTCAATATCATTTAAGCTATATCCATGCTTCCCACATACCAGGACCCAGAAACCACACAAGGACCAATACCCGTAATGTTTGTGTCTGTTGCGGTTGTCTACTCCTAATTGTCCCTAAGAATTTTTATGACAGGCTGATGCAGTAATAAAACTAGATTAGTTGATTATATAGGAAACTTTCGGCAAAAAAAAACAAAAAAATGAGTTGCCGAAAGAATTCAACTCAATCCTAATACATGCCAACTAAAATTCTTATAATGTTTCAGCCCCTTACTCTCACCTTCACTTATCTTGCTCCTGTCTGCATACAAGTTAGTCATACATTGACTAGAATACAAGGACCAAGTAAAAGTCATTAAGAAAAAAATTTCACAGCCGTAACCATGCATATATTTGTAAATCTCAACATATTTTTTCACTAGACTTGGATCCTCAACTAATAAATGTCCAGTTAGTCAAAATAAAAGTTGAAAGAATAACAGCAGAGTACACATTGAAAATCTCTACAAAATCGGATAACATAAAGTTGAGAAAAAATAAACTGCTGATAAAACAAGTTTGTAACTAAACCTGCAGCCCTCCCCAAATCAAATGGACATGGGAATCAATAAATCCTGGAACCACAAATTTTCCTTCAAGATTCAACTCTTTTGTCCCATCTCCAGCCAATTCCTGCACGGTACATTGCCACATGGATAAATTTTACTCATAACCCATTTCAAATATAGGCAAAAACATAAAAGACTAACAAATTAGGCAGACGGATTAATTTCTCATTACTGTAAGACTTTCAGGACCAAAAATATAACACACCTTTGGAGAGAATATTAGTGATTTGTAATAATTAGCCTAATTACATTTGAGTAAATGACATCAATCCAAAAGACTAGTCCATTAATCAGACTGACTCATCCTGCTTATAAAGTCCAAGGGTCCCCATTAATCATCCAATGTGATCATCAATATGAATATATTTGACAAATTTTATGAAACTTCGGATAAACTCAACCAGGGGCGTAACTACGAGAGGGCTTGCTTGGGCTGTAGCACCGGTAGCCCTCCCCGAAAAAAAAAATATTAAAAACTCTTATTTTTTTAATTTAAAAAAAATTATACTGATTTATTTTCTCAAATTTCTTTACAATCCTTATTTTGTATTACAAATCATCATTTCATTCGATAGATTTTATTATTATTTTAACATTACAGAAATTAACTCAGATTCACCCTATGAAACATTGTTAAATTAACTAAATTCACCATGCAACACTCCATTAAAATTGGTTTTTAAGCATGTTTAATATATATATATATATATATTTTTAAGCATGTTTAATATATATATATATATATAGTGTACTTCATTAAACTGTAAAGTTATATCTAGTACTATCCATAATCATTTTGCTAAAATTAAATTTAGTTCAGCCCAGGTTAAAGTAAAATCCTGGCTAAGCCCCTGAACTCAACAGAGGTTTCTACTTAATCTTCACTAAAAAAGAAGTATGAATATGAAATGGAGAACCTGGATGGAAGAATAGTTCCCAACGCGGAGAATCCTGCCGTTTAAGATGGCCATAGAGTCGGCAAACGGAAGAGACTCATCGCTGGTGAATATAACTCCATTTCTTAGTATTAAATCTGCTACTGAGGGTGTTGATGGAGTCAAACTCAACCAATCTACAAACCCAGATGAATAATTAAATTAAAAATAATAAAATGGGTATTGACTGTTTTTGAAAGTTGTACTCACAGTTGTTGAGAAGAGGAAGAAGGAGAAGTGAAAGAGCAAGAAAAATTGTGGCAGGGATGAGAGTGTAAAGGTTCATAGTGGAGTCGGATAAGCAGTAATGGAGATTAACCGCCTCTTTGACACTTTTTCAAATCAACTTTCAATTGCAGATGATTAAAAATTTGAGGTGATGAACTGATTGCTTTGGGCCGTTTGGATAGGGTTAAATAAGATAACCGGGAAATATTAGTTTGTTTTGGTAACATTTTCTGTGTTTGGTTTGCAAGTAATAAAATATTGTGAGAATTTTTATTGTAAATAGTGTTTACTGTTGGTAATGTGGAGGGTAATCTTATTACCTTACTTGTGGGTATTCTTAAAGATATTTCGAGCTAATCTGATTTTTCCTTCTATTTTACTCTTAATTAAAAACTATTCAACATAATTACCCCTCAATATCTGTCAAATAACAATTACCCAATCCCCTTATATTTCAGAAATTAGTTAAAACACTCATGCCACAAAAAAGTTTAAAAGTTACAAATACCCTCAACCACCCAAGATCACCGCCGGCCATGACTCACTACCACTGGCCATCAGCGTCAGTCGTTGTAATGGTGCACGACCGACGGATTTGGCTCATCGTGCACTGGTAAGGCTTTTTCTAGCCATGATTTGGAAACGGCCAGATATGGTCTGAAATAACACAGCCAAAGATCTAGCCTTTTCATGGCCAGATTTGTGGGTCGTTTCATAGCCACATCTTTGGTCAGAAATGGCCATAGATCTGCCATTTTCGGACCGTGGATTTGTGTGATATGGCCATTTTTGGCTTTGTAGATGCACAATTGGCCATATACGACCATCTGCATCATTTTGTCAACTGTCGATGACAGTCGGCAGTGGCTTAGGGTGGGTGTAGGTGATTTTGCTATAAATTAAAGTTTTATATGATTGGGTTTTTTAGCAAAATTTCAAAATAGGGGGTTAAAAAATTAATCAAAAAAAATAATAAATACTATTATATTAATTTTAAAAAAAGAAGGGCAATTTAGTCATCTAATAATATATCTACTCATTTATCCTCTCAACCAAAAATATTATTCACCACAATTTATTCGAACCAACCAAACACATTTCTAGATATTTTCAATAATATTTATGTGATTTTCTTTTCGTTAATATAATATACCCCTATAATAAATATTATACGATTTAAATGCACTGTTATATCATTTCCTCTTCAAGGTTTGAGGAAAATTAACACACCCAATATTTTCGGGCAGTAACAAATATACCCAAAAAATTGATTATTTTACCATATAAAGATTATAAACCTTGGCCTAATTATATTCTTTCGGTTTTTTTTTCTCTTCAATTTTTATTTTAAACATATATAAAATTGAAGAAATAAAACTGAGAAAAAGACTTTAGTATTCTTAATCTTACATATGTACTCTCCCCATTTTATATTATTTTTTTTAGTTTTGGATTTAATTAATTTATTGCTTAAATTGGACCAAAGGTTCTATAGTAAAGTAATCCATGTTTTGTTATCATCCAAACCTTGGTGTGTTTATTTCCTCAAACTTTGAGGAGAAAATTTTTAAACCCCTATATTTGTTAGGGTCACTTAATGGCGTTAGTAGTTAAAACAAACAAAAAATTAATTTTAATTAAGAATGGGGAGAGATTGATAGCAACTGTATTACAATGATATAAAAAATTTCTAATCGGCTTTCCTCGTTCATCTCAAGCTAATCAAGTCAAAATTATAATCAAATACAATTGCTTCTACCAATGTTGTCTTGTTCATACAGTTACAACAATGGTCGATGATTTTTTGTTCTGCATTATTGGCACAGCTATGGACACTGTAAAAAATACCAAACATTATACAATAAATTCTCAATCTAAAATTGATATAGAGATAATATAGATGAACATCCAATAGGAATGCAACCTTGACATTGAGAATTAAGTGTTTAATTGAAAATAAATTAGACTTTTTAATACGGTTAAGTTGGCTCTCCACCTTCATTGAATCAACTCCATTATATCTCATATTTCGCTGTTCAGTTTCCTCCAATATCTCAAATTTTCAACTTAGGCCATTGTTAATGTTTTTCAACTAACCATCCATCTAATTCTTAATATATACACATTAATAATAGTTTTTAATATATTCACATATTATGCATGATTTGTTAAAATGTTTGATATTTCATGCATTATTTTCATATCAAAAGCTCAATTATCATGATAATATGTACAGGAATTATTAAAGAATTGAATTATTTAATTGTAATGAATATATTTAACATTTTTTATTTTTTTTTCCTTTACGTAAATCTGAAAAATATGTTTATTTTTTATTTTTCAAAACCTTAAAATAAGTATTTTATTTTATATGTTTTTCCGGCCTCATAGAATTCTATCTATCTTTCTTTGTTCATTGTTCACCTAACCATTCACGTTACTCCTTGAAGACTTTTAAAAACCTTTATAGATGAAAAAAAACAGATTTTAATATAAAAATATAAAAGTATTTTCAAAATGATAATATATAATATTTATTTTAGTTTAAGGCAAGGTGGCAGAAGCAGCTACCTTAATTTCTTGAAGGAGAAACAAATATACCTATACTTTCTGGATTTACAAGAATTCATGGTATTTTTTGGAAAGCTACATTATTTAAAAATAAAAAAAAGTCTGTGAATGCGTAATAGATTCTATCCTTTTTGCATATTAATTAAATCAATATCATATACCCATGCATCTCATAGACTCGATTTAAATAAGTTGAATAAAGTAATCATTTGCAAGCAAAATGATAAAAGAATTTGATAAAATAGAAGAAATTATTGGAACACTAGAAGATTATAACGGAAGCAACCAAAAATCAAGCAAATCCCTCAGATCAAGCAGAGAAAGTGGAAACAGATTCTTAGCCTAAAATCAAGGGTGTGACAGTAATCAAATATTGCATTTATTTCTCTATAACAACTAGCATTTATTCTAGGATTCTTACTTAGAATAGCTTTTGAAAATTTGTATTTATTATGTGATATACGACTGTAACTAGTGTGTGTAAAATTCTGAAAGTTGAGCAGTAATACAATTGTGAGAATTCTCAAACTTCATCATGGTATCAGGAGAGAGTCACCCTCCCACGAGAACTCCATCCCCACCTTTGAAAACACCCACAATCCGATCTCCACCCCCACCACCTTCCACAGATATTCCCCTCATTGCACTCAACATTACTGCTCAAATAAACGAAAAACTTAGATGATCGAACCTCCACTTTAGCATATATAAGCTTTCTTGGTGCAAACCCATTTTCTTGGAGTTCAAAGAAGCAAAGAGCAGTAGCACGATCATCCATTGAAGCTGAATACAGAGCCTCAGCAAATGCAGCTTCAAAAACTGTGTGGTTACTTTCCCTATTCAAAGAACTCGGTCTTCCAATGCCCAACAAACCTAAACTGCTATGTGATAGTTTGGGGGCCACGCACCTTAGTTTCAATCCCCTACAACACTCAAAAATGAAACACATTTAGATTGATCTTCATTTTGTGCGGGACATGGTCCAACATGGAATTCTCAATGTTCACCATGTGAACACACAAGACTAGTTAGCCGACCTTCTGACAAAAGCACTTTCACGTCAAAGAACAGAAATGCTGAGAAACAAGATAGGTTTAGCTTATGGCAGCTCTATCTTGCGGGGGCATATAATAGAAGCAACCAAAAATCAAGCAAATCCCTTAGATCAAGCAGAGAAAGTGGAAACAGATTCTTAGCCTAAAATCAAGGGTGTGACATAGAGATGGCAATGGGCCTGACATTTTTGGGTACCTAGCGGGACGGGCTTTACCCGAGGTTGGCGGGCTTGGGCTTGATTTTAAGGCCCGACCTCGTGTACGGGCCGAGCATAGGTATATCTTTAGGCCCAGCCCGGCCCGTCCCCAAAAATTTTAGTATTAATTTTACTAATTTACCCTTATATTATATATTTAATTACAATATTATACTATATATATATATATATATATCCATTTTTCCCAAACCTTAACCTCAATTTTCATCCCATATTGAAGGTTTAACATGTTAAAATTGCCTTTAAATGAGTTAGATGGGTTTGGTTCAACTCATAAAAGCGGATTTCACCATAACATATTATACACAGCTGAAAAGTTAGTATAATCAAATATTATGGAGTTTTAATTGCTCACTTATTGCTTAAATTATTTGCGGAAATAGTTTCAATTAATATTTAAAAACTATTTCTAAAATTAAAAATATAAAAAAAATTTGAAATTTATTAATATTTAAAAATAAGATTATATTATATATTCTTTTCAGTTTTTAATTTCTTCAAATTTTATTTTAAACATATATAAAATTGAAGAAATAAAATCGAAAAAGACTTTAGTATTCTTAATCTTACAATAGTTCACCTCCCATTTTATATTATTTAATTTTTAGTTTTGGATTTAATTAATTTATTGCTTACTAGACCAAAGGTACTATATAAAGTAATCAATTTGCAGTGATTTGTATCACCAAAACCCTGGTGTGTTTATTTTCCTCAAACCTTGAGGAAAATTGTTAAAACCCCTATTAGTTTTTTGAGGGTCACCTTATGGCGTTAGTAGTTAAACAACAAAAAAAATTAATTTTAATTAAGAATGGGAGATTGATAGCAACTGTATTACAAGATATAAAAATTTCTAATCGGCTTTCCTCGTTCATCTCAAGCTATCAAGTCAAAATTATAATCAAATACAATTGCTTCTACCAATGTTGTCTTGTTCATACAGTTACAACAATGGTCGACTGTAATTTTTAAAATAATAAAATGGGTATTGAGTGTTATTGAAAGTTGTACTCACAGTTGTTGAGAAGAGGAAGAAGGAGAAGTGAAAGAGCAAGAAAAATTGTGGCAGGGATGAGAGTGTAAAGGTTCATAGTGGAGCTGGATAAGCAGTAATGAAGATTAACCCGCCCCTTTGAACACACTTTTTCAAATCAACTTTCAATTGCAGATGATTAAAAATTTGAGGTGATGAACTGATTGCTTTGGGCCGTTTGGATAGGGTTAAATAAGATAACCGGGAAATATTAGTTTGTTTTGGTAACATTTTCTGTGTTTGGTTTGCAAGTAATAAAATATTGTGAGAATTTTTATTGTAAATAGTGTTTACTGTTGGTAATGTGGAGGGTAATCTTATTACCTTACTTGTGGGTATTATTAAAATATTGTCGAGCTAATATGATTTTTCTATCTATTTTACTCTTAATTAAAAACTATTTCAGACATAATTACCCTCAAATATCTGTCAAATAACAATTACCCAATCCCCTTATATTTCAGAAATTAGTTAAAACACTCATGCCACAAAAAAGTTTAAAAGTTAACAAAATACCCTCAACCACCCAAGATCACCGCCGGCCATGACTCACTACCACTGGCCATCAGCGTCAGTCGTTGTAATGGTGCACGACCGACGGGATTTGGCTCATCGTGCACTGGTAAGGCTTTTTCTAGCCATGGATTTGGAAACGGCCAGATATGGTCATGAAATAACACAGCCAAAGATCTAGCCTTTTCATGGCCAGATTTGTGGTCGTTTCATAGCCACATCTTTGGTCATGAAATGGCCATAGATCTGGCCATTTTCGGACCGTGGATTTGTGATATGGCCATTTTTGGCTTTGTAGATGCACAATTGGCCATATACGACCAGTCATGCATCATTTTGTCAACTGTCGATGACAGTCGGCAGTGGCTTAGGGTGGGTGTAGGTGATTTTGCTATAAATTAAAGTTTTATATGATTGGGTTTTTTAGCAAAATTTCAAATATAGGGGGTTAAAAAAATTAATCAAAAAAAATAATAAATACTATTATATTAATTTTAAAAAAGAAGGGCAATTTAGTCATCTATATAATATATCTACTCATTTATCCTCTCAACCAAAAATATTATTCACCAATTTATTCGAACCAACCAAACACATTTCTAGATATTTTCAATAATATTTAATGTGATTTTTCTTTTCGTTAATATAATATACCCCTATAATAAAATATTATACGATTTAAATGCACTGGTTATAACAATTTCCTCTTCAAGGTTTGAGGAAAATTAAACACACCCAATATTTTCGGGCAGTAACAAATATACCCAAAAAATTGATTATTTTACCATATAAAGATTATAATATCCTTGGCCTAATTATATATTCTTTCGGTTTTTATTTCTTCAATTTTTATTTTAAACATATATAAAATTGAAGAATCTAAGACTTTGTATTGAAAAAGACTTTAGTATTCTTAATCTTACTATACTTCACTCTCCCATTTTATATTATTTAATTTTTAGTTTTGGATTTAATTAAATTTATTGCTTATAATTGGACCAAAGGTTCTATAGTAAAGTAATCATATTTTGTTATCATCCAAAACCTTTGGATGTGTTTAATTTCCTCAAACGTTGAGGAGAAAATTGTTATAACCCCTATTATTTGTTAAGGGTCACCTTATGGCGTTGGTAGTTAAAACTAACAAAATTTAAATTTAAATTAAGAATGGGGAGAGATTGATAGCAATTGTACTTATTATTATGTTACAATGATATAAAAAATTTCTAATCGGCTTTCCTCCTTCAAGCTAGTCAAATCAAAATTATAATCAAATGCAATTGCTCCTACCAATGCCGCCTTGTTCACACAGTTACAACAATGGCCGATGATTTTTTGTTCTGCATTATTCGCATAACTGTGGACACTGTAAAGTTTGAAAAATAGCTTTTAGAAAAATCATATGGGGTAGAAATGATAATGAAGAAAGGTTTATAGACTTATATGTAATAGGCCAAAATGAGTTAGTTTGTCCCACATTGAAAAGGAATGAAAAGTGGGAAACTTTTGAGACCTATATATAAGGACCTAAATCAATGTTAATTGTATCCCAAGTTATAATTCCATTATACTTCTTTTGTTTAGGGTTCTTTCTTTAAGGACCCTTTAGTTTGTAAGTTTTGTTGTATTTCTCCTTTGTTTTGGGTATTTGTTGTATTGCCCAAAAGTTTGTAATATTTTAGAGATAGTGGAGTTTTCTTTTGCAGTGCCGAGAACGTAGGTTTCAATACCGAATCTCGTTAATTCTTGGTATTTTTTATTTCTACATTTAATTTTAGTTATTTATTTATGCTTTATTACTTGTTATTATTATATTCAATAGCTAGCATTAGAGTTTATGTTTCCGTTGCATAGCAGTAAAAAGTACCGAACATTATACAGTACATTCTCAATCTAAAATTGATATTGTGATAATATAGATGAACATCCAGTAGAATGCAACCTTTACATTGAGAATTAAGTGTTGGGAGTGAAAATAAATTAGACTTTTTAATACGGTTAAGTTGGCTCTCCACCATCATTGAATCAACTCCATTATATCTCATATTTCGCTGTTCAGTTTCCTCCCATTGTTAATGTTTTTCAACTAACCATCCATCTAATTCTTAATATATACACATTAATAATAGTTTTTCATATATTCACATATTATGCATGATTTGTTAAATTGTTTGATATTTCATGCATTATTTTCATATCAAAGGCTCAATTATCATGATAATATGTACACGAATTATTCAAGAATTGAATTATTTAATTGTAATGAATATATTTAACATTTTTTTTATTTTTTTCCTTTACGTAAATCTGAAAAATATATTTATTTTTTATTTTTCAAAACCTTAAAATAAGTATAGTTGATTTTTTATGTTTTCCCGCCTATAGAATTCTATCGATCTTCTTTGTTCATTATTCACCTAACCATTCACGTTACTCCTTGAAAACTTTTAAAAACCTTTATAGATGAAAAAAAAACAGATTTTAATAAAAAGTATTTCAAAATGATAAGATATAATATTTATTATGTTAAGGCAAGGGGCAGAAGCAGCTACCTTAATTTCTTGAGGGAAACAAAATAACCTATACTTTCTGGATTTACAAGAATCATGTTATTTTTTGGAAATAAGCTACATTATTAAAAAAAAAAAAAAAAAAAAAAAAAAAAAAAAAAGTCTATCAAAAAAAAAAAAGTCTATCCTTTTTGCATATTAATTAAATCAATATCATATACCCAAGCATCTCATAGACTCAATTTAAATAAGTTGAATAAAGTAATCATTTGCAAGCAAAATGATCAAAGAATTTCATAAAATAGAAGAAATTATTGGAACACTAGAAGATGTGTTACTAGAAGTTGAGGTACCGAGGAGATTGGATAATCTCACCACCTTACTTCATTGAACTGTTGGTAGTAGGATCGTCCAATAATATAATGACATTTGTTATTATACATTTAATAAAATTTTCTTTTTTATCCACCCATTATCATAATTTATGAGTACTTATTATCATTTATCAATAACCACCATCATAAAGGGGAGTTTTCAAAATTATATCTTTATTTTATTGTACACTCTCACCATGTTAGCCAAGTGATGTAATGAGACTGTCTCGTGTAAATTTCTCTCAAGAAACTAATTATAAAATAGCTTTATTGCTCTTACTAACTCTTTTCTATACAAATAATAATAATAATAATAATAATAATAATAATATCAACCTTATAAAAGTTTTTTATTAAAACTGAAAATCAAACAAATACAATACAGATACTGAATACTAAAAGAGTAATGCAACCAAAAGCTATCAATATAAAAAAATAATAAAAATAAAATAAAGTGGCATATGGGATTTCACCAATTCTCTATCTTTCAATGTCAATTGATGCAAAACCAATAAAACTCTTTGTAATACCAGCTTTTGCTTCCTCTTGTGGCTCGTATTAATCATCAGAATATTCATCTTTTCCACTCACTTTTCCGTATTCAACCTGTTCACCATAATGTTTTTCTAAAACTACGTATAAAAAGACTAAAAAAATTGTGATTCCAACTAAAACCCAGCTGAATTCAATGTTTACAAGCGACTTAGCTCTGTGTAAAGCCTCCTCTTTGTGGCATCTAACGACTTGGTGACCTTCCTCATAGTGTAAAAAGCAGCCTTTTGGTATGTATTTAGGATTCCAAAGCATCAAGCCAATCATAATAAGCCAAACTCCTTGGAAAAAGATACTAGCTGACCTAACAAAACTCACCATGAAGCTTTTGGGGAGGCAAATTCCCAATATGGTTGTGGTTAAAGAAACAAGGATGATGAGTTGTAAAAGAAAATGGTAATGGCCTTCAAGGCCCATGTGATCGGTTGAATGAAGATGAAATAGAAGAAATTCTTCGGTGAAGGCGATGGCTCCAAGGAAATGTGCTAGGGCATGTTGAGATTTGCAGCAATTTCTGTCTAGAAGAATGGTGAAAGCTGCATAGGTGAAGAAAGTGAGTGATATTGTTGCATGTTCAAAGTTGTGAAGATGGTTTGAAGGAATGGTTCCATCGGAGTCGAAGGGATGGTGTTTTCTTGGACCTATGACGAGTTCCATGGCAATGGAGATTGAGCTTCCTAGCATGATGAAGAAGAGCTCTAGGTATTTTATTTTTGGAGAGGGAAACCATGTGGTTGATTTGTAGGATTTGGGGTGGAGGGAATGGAGCTTGATGTGGTTAAAAAGATGCCACAAGCCAAGTAACAAGAAGGCAAATCCTGGTACTACATGTCCTATTAAAGAACCCATAATTTAGTAATTGAAACCAAATTGTTTTATTTTTCTCTTTGAACCAAGAGGGGGAATTAGTGTTTGTTTCCGAGAGAAATGGTGAACAAATTAATTTGGGGATTTAAGCGTGGCTTATATAAGGTTTTGAAAGTTCTATGAGTGGCATGTCTTATTTATTTTTTGGATAAACTATCAAAAATCTCCTAAAATTAATTATTTTAAAATAATATCGAAGAGTTTGTGTGCACTTCAAATTAAATGAGATGGGGCTAATAACCCAATGAAATTTGTTTGTTTGGTTAGTTTGAATTATCAGGAGTTATCCTCTTCTATGTTGAAAAGTTGGACGTACGTATGTTCATGGCTATAATATGCTTTCGTTTTTTTCTTTTTAAATACTTCACCAATTATTTTATGATAGAAATGTGCTACACGCAATTCTTTATTTTAGGGAAGTTTGTCATTTTAAGCGAAAAATAGTTGCCTTGATATCTAGAGAATTGATGATCTTAAGAAATTTTATTATAATAGGTATATCCTGCTCAATTATTAATACTCAGTCACTTAATTAATATTTGATTTAATTTGCTTCTAGCTTTGATGTACTGATCTGGATTTTTCTGGGTTGCTTATAGATTGAATGTTAGTGAACTCTATCATTAAAGAAAGTGATGTTGATTTATTGGTAAGTTTATGATATTGGCTAGAATGATGAAAGTGCTTTAACAAAATTTTAGATAATCGATGAAGTTTTCTCAATGTGAAGGGAGGTTAGGGGTAATTTTGAATAGCTTTGGGGTATCAATAAGCAAAACTGAAACCTAATGGGAGGTGAGAGATAATAACCATAATATTAATTATATCCCACAAATGGTGGTAAAAGCTGTTAAGATGGGATTTTTGTCATCTCAACAATAAAATTGATTTTTGACCTTTTACAATGTTTCTGATTTGGTATGTTTAGCAAGAAACAGAGTAAACTGGCAAGCACGAAATTGGGAATTTTCATTAATCAAGGAGTACAAAACATGTTTATATGCAAATTTAAGCGTTGCAATATTTAGATATTTCATAGGTATAACATAATTTATCATTAATAAGTTATCGTTCTGGATAATCATATTGTTACTAATATGAGATTTAATTTATCAAGATTAATAATATGGTACTAATACATGCTTAATGATATTTTAAATATTTAATATTACAAATTAATGTTTGAAGTTATTCAGTGTTACAATTGTTTCGATTATATCATATACTTTATAATATAATGTTATATTTATGAGTAATGTTATATTTACACCACTCTTTTATACAATTTTCATTACATCATGTCATGATGTGATATATATCACAACCACACAAATTCTATTATAATATTAAAAATTCAAAATAATTAAAAATTTGCATGATTGTGACATATATCACATCATGATATAATGAATATGGTGTAAATATAGCATTACCCTTTAATTTATCCTATAAACTAAGCAAACAAAAAGCATTTTAATATCTAATTTACATATAGAGTAAAGGACATGTTCCCACCCAAAGTTCAGTGAAATTACAAGTTCCCACTCCTAGTTTCATAAATTCCAGATTCTCGCACTTAAATTAACATAAAATCGTTTTATTTAATGATCAAAGGGTAAAATTGTCATTTGAACTGAGTTAAATCTCAAACAAAAATAAGAATTTCAAAGTAACCCTCCACATCTCCAATTTCTCTCACAAACACCCTCTCTCTAATACTACTACTCTTCTGTCGCTTCTCCCTCACTCCCTCTGCCATAACCTCCCATTGCTCTCCCTAACTAGCAATCGTGCTCCTCTCTCCCTCCCTAACCTAATCTAGCCAAATCGGAAGCCGCAATTAATACGCTTATTTTCCACATCACTCTCTTCTTTAATCCTTCGGCGTGAGAACTCTCTCGGCGTCGAGGAGCAATCAAGTGGGCATCCGGCGAGCAGCAGGAGATGCAAAGAGAAGACGAGGGCACGACATCGGATTGAGACAACCGATTACAGGCGACGACGCAAAGCAACGAGTAACAATACCCAGCAAAGTCGCGACAACACCAAACTCTGAAAGACACCGCGAACTTATTGCGATGCAGTCGCGAGATGACCGATCTCGAAGTTTGGCGATGCAAACGCAGCGGAAACCAAGAAAACGCGATCGACGCAACCACTGGAGTTAGGCGGTGGACTTGGGATGGTGGGGGGCTGCAATTGGCCCCCCCACCATCCCATCAAATCTATGTCCAGCTCTCATCTGTCAAACCTCCTCTTTTACAAAGAAAGGTGCCAATTTATACATCTTTGAGGTCAATGTAATGAGCCCTTTTATAAGTTGCCTTGACACATGGAGAACTCTCATTCGTCCTTATCTTAAAATGAGATAGGATTGATATAAAATATCTTTGAGGCAGTATGGGTTTGACAGTTAGTACATTTTGTCTTTTAAGCACTTGTTGAGTTGACATTAATATGACTTTGTAGGCACAACAATAATAATTTGCTATCATGATAATCGTAATATATATATATAGTTTTTCACTAGTGAATATTTAGTCGTTCATTACAAATTACAATTGTATAATATTAATAGGTTCACAATGAGGAAAATTTTGACTAAAAGAAAATATATATATATATATATATATTTTTTTTTTTTTTTTTGAGTAAACGACATCTACCCACCCAAGGTTTGGCAAATAGACAAGTTCATACCTATGGTTTCACAAATTCCAGATTTCCACCCTTAAATTAATACAGTTACTGATTTTTGAGTTCTAACACAGTATATAAGTTCAATTATCATACTGCCCTTAACAAATAAATTAATAAATTACTTTTTTTCCTCCAAACTAATAGAATCAGAAAAAATATGTTACTTTCAAATATTTTTCAATAACACTCTCTTCTTCAATTTTTATTTAAAAAAACAAAAACAAAAACCCTAAGGAGAGGTGGACGGCGACCGGCCGGCTAACAGAGTTAGGTTGGGGGGCCGCCCTGTTCACACAGTTTACAACAATGGCCGATGATTTTTTGTTCTGCATTATTCGCATAACTGTGGACACTGTAAAGTTTAAAATTGCTTTTAGAAAATCATGATGGGGTAGAAATGATGAAAAAGGTTTATTATGACTTATAGTAATAGGCCAAATGAGTTAGTTGTCCACATTTGAAAGGAATGAAAAGTGGAACTTTTGAGACCTATATTAAGGACCTAAAACAATTGTTATTGTAATCCCAAGTTTATTCCATTATCTGTCTTTTTTAGTGGTTCTTTCGTTAAGGACCTTAGTTTGTAAGTTTTTGTTGTATTTCTGCCTTTGTTTTGGGGTATTTGTTTATTGTCCAAAGTTTGTAAATATTTTAGAGTAGGGAGTTTTCTTTTGCAGTCGCCTGAGAACGATGTTTCAATCCGAATCTCGTAATTCGTGGTATCTTGTTTTATTTCTACATTTATTTAGTTATGTTATTTATGCTTTATTACTATGTTATTATTATATTCACTAGCTAGTCATTAGGGTTTATGTTTTCCGTTGCGTCAGCAGTAAAAATACCAAACATTATACAGTACTTCTCATCTAAAATTGTATTGTGATAATTAGTGAACTCCTAGAATGCAACCTTTTACATTGAGATTAAGTGTTTGGGAGTGAAAATAAAATTAGACCTTTTTAATACGGTTAAGCTTTGGCCTCTCCACACTCATTGAATCAACTCCATTATTCTCAATTCGCTGTTCATTTTCCTCCCTTGTTAATTGTTTTTCAACTAACCATCCATCTAATTCTTAATATAATACACATTAATAATAGTTTTTCATATATTCACATATTATGCATTTTGTTAAATTGTTGATATTTCATGCATTATTTTCATATCAAAGCTCAATTATCATGATAATATCACGAATTATCAAGAATTGAATTATTTAATTGTAATGAATATATTAACATTTTTTTTTATTTTTTTTTCCTTTACGTAAATCTGAAAATATATTTATTTTTTATTTTTCAAACCTTAAAATATATTTTATTTTATATGTTTTTTCCGCCTCATAGAATTCTATCGATCTTTCTTGTTCATTATTCCCTAACCATTCACGTTACTCCTTGAAAACTTTTAAAAACCTTTATAGATGAAAAAAAAACAGATTTTATATAAAGTATTTTTCAAAATGATAATATATATTTATTCTAGTTTAAGGCAAGGTGCAGAAGCAGCTACCTTATTTCTTGAAGGAGAACAAATATACCTAACTTTCTGGATTTACAAGAATTCATGTTATTTTTTGGAATTAAGCTACATTTAAAAAAAAAAAAAAAAAAAAAAAAAAAATCTATCAAAAAAAAAAAAAGTCTATCCTTTTGGCATATTATTAAATCAATATCATATACCCATGCATCCTCATAGACTCATTTAAATAAGTTGAATAAAGTCTCATTTGCAACCAAAATGATCAAAGAATTCATAAATAGAAGAATTATTTGAACACTATAAGATGTGTTACTAGAATTGAGGTACCGAGGAGATTGGATAATCTCACCACCTTACTTCTTGACTGTTGGTAGTAGGATCGTCCAATCAATATATGATGTTATGATACATTTAATAAATTTTCTTTTTATCCACCCATTTCATAATTTATGAGTACTTTTATCATTATCAATAACCCCCATCATAAGGGAGTTTTCAAATTATAATCTTTATTTTATTGAACTCACATGTGCCAAGTGATGTAATGAGACCTGTCTCGTGTAAATTTCTCTCAAGAAACTAATTTAAAATAGCTTTATTGCTTTACTACCTCTTTTCTATACACAAATATATATAATATATATAATCAACCTTATAAATTTTTTTTATTAAAACTGAATCAAACATCACTACAGATACTGAATACTAAAAGAGTAATGCAACCAAAACTCATCAATATAAAAAAAATAAAAATAAAATAAATGGCATATGGATTCACCAATTCTCTATCTTTCAATGTCAATTGATGCAAAACCATAAAACTCTTTGTAATACCAGCTTTTGCTTCTCCTCTTGTGCTCGTATTAATCAGAATATTCATCTTTTCCACT